CTGTAATTAATAACAAATATACAACTATTATTATTTCAGTGAAATGTACTACATTAGTGGTTGGTGGGAGTTAACAGATTATCTAATGGGTGTGGTGTTCTACTGCTGTTTAAGCTTTGGGGTAGTCTTCCTCCAGTTCAAGGTGTGTGTATCTACAGAGATGCACAGACATTATACTTGCATAAAAGGGTCTTTAAGTTGTAATTTAAGGTTTCAAATCCAAAAGATCACTTTATAGAAGTAACTTTTTGAAAGATTGAATGAATGCCTGAGATCATGGAAGCCATCTCTTTTACTAGTGGGTTCCTTGGGTATCTAAAACGTTATAACCTCAGCCTGTATTCAGATAAGTGTCAGTGTCTGGTATGTAGTAATATCCTTACTGATTGGTATGTGTTTTCCAGCCTTCCTTTCTCACCATACTTGGGTTAAAAGTTCAGGAGAGCCTTGAGCAGATTCAGTACTGATACTCAGCTTTATTGGAAGTTAACTTGCTCTTCCTTGCTAGATACAGACTTAAAGCCTTCTCAAAGGCTTTAATCCTCACCTGTGTTTTCCTCCAACTATGATGTTTTATTTGCTGAGTGTGTTCTCAAGATCCACTGCTGTGGTTTGGCTTTGTCTGTACAGGTTTTGAATCTCTCCAGTGGCAATGAGGAGATTGTGGATCCTGAGAATGTCTGGAATTGTGTTCCTGACTGGGCTTACAGGTCATCTGAGGTAAGGCAGTGTGGCAGTGGACTGGGCAGGACAGTACTGCCTTTTAGAAAGAGCTCTCTGAGTTTAGTTGTGCTTCTCCCTGTGTCACCCTGAGAATAGAAAGGCAAAGTAGCATTAATCTAAATCTGTGTATTCATGCCCGCTGGTAGAAGCGCAGTATTTTTCTTTAAGACTTCATATTGTCCTTCCTTCTCTATGGATCACAATGGAGACTATAGAAATTTGTATTAATATATTATATAACTGATAAAACCGTATAAATAGTTTACATAAATTATAAACTGTCAGCCATTTGGCCTGAGGACTGTTAATTCAGGCTGGGAATAGATTTATGAAAACAGCTTGAAGGAAGAAATGTTACAGGAAGACTACTGCTAATCAAGAACTGTAGAACAATGCTGATAATGTGGCTTTTGACAGATCATGCTAGTAAAGCATGTAACTAACATTTATAAAAAAAATACTTATATTATGAAGTAATTGGGAAATTATAGTAAGATTTTTCACCAGTGTTCTTCATGACATACCAGGAAATGAAAATCTCATCTCTGGAACCCAAAACTCAGGTTGTCAGCCATGCTACTGCCGATAACAGAATGAATTTCCAGTTTATGCTTCACATGCAGTTTTTCCATCAAAGCGAAAAGTGAGTTTTAAGGGGACAGAGCAGTGGTAACTCAAGAGTCCAGCAGTGCTGGTGAAAAAAGTTAGTCTAGTATTAAAGGAAGCACCTCAATGGAAAACTATCTTGGCAGTAGTGTCAGCTTCCTAACAGAATCCCCTTTTGTTTAGGCAATAACCCCTGTAACGGGAAACTCGCAGGTCTTACCAGAGGAGTCCTTACTTCAAGGTAAGACTACCTTAAACTTCCCAAAGAGGTGGTGAACTTCATGTTTGGATGCTTTCTAATTTTCTAGGAGATGCTTTATTTAGGAGACTACAGTCAAAACTTTTATTAGCTTATGTATTTAATATTGTTGTTCTGGTTTTCTTATCATTAGCTTATGTACTGCCAGTTTAATGGTGAATATCTGCAATGTAAGCTGCTACTGTCTTGATTAGAAATCAATTTAGTATTTATTTATTCAACCTAGTAGATCAAGCCTTGTGGACAAGTTGGAGTGGTACACCTATGTTACAGATTCTGGTAGGGTCTTTGAGCATTGGCCACCACCATGCTACTCTTGCTCACCTTTCTGAGGCAAGGTGAGCAACTACTAGGCAGACTCTACAAAGCATTGCAATTTGGTATTTGAATGCCCCAATTCCTTAATAGATCTTCATCTATAAATCTAAACCCATAATATTACTATCTTAGTTGTTGTAACAGTAGTTTGCAAATGGTGCATTTATGTCTTTATTAAATTCTGAAGTGTTTCTAGCAAACACCTATTCTGTGTACCAAAGAAAATAGTACAGATTCTTTCTGATTATATACTATTCCTAAAATCCATGGAATCGTAGAGAAGTTCTTGGTTGAAAGGGACCTTTGAAGGCACTCTAAGCAAAGTCAACTAGGTCAGGTCACTTAGGACCTTCCTTCTAGGTCTGGAATCTATCCAAGCATGGAGATTCCAGAACCTCTCTGGGAAATTTGTTCCAGTGTTTGGCCAGTGGTTGCCTGATGGAGACTGAACTAAGTTTGAGTAAAGATGGCATTTGTGTTTTGAGTGGTTGAATTGGTAATTTCATTTCAGTACACCTGTACTGAAAGCGGACTGGTTCTCAGGTAACAAATCATGAAGCCTGCAATGGAGATCTAGTTACCTGTTGGGCAAACAGCACAGAAAATGTGAGTTAAGGTCATGCAACCATGTGGCACAGATGTGGATCTTGCTGCACATGTGGGCTGCTGCCTGGAAAGGCAATTAAGAGTAGAAGGTACCCAATCCACAGGATGCAAAACCTCCTGCAGTGTGTTACCCTAAGACCACTGATGAATGTAGTGGCTTGAACTCATAACTGAAATCTGGGAGCACTGCTTGCTTCATCTTGGGCAGTTCTGTTGTTTCAGCTGTCTTATCCTTACATGGTAACTTTGCCAGAGTGTAGTCTTTTAATATGGTGCAGTATGTTGATGACATTTAGTCTGAAGCCTTATTGAGTTAGGCTTTAAATATTAATGCATTTATACATGTTTCTGTAAACATTCTGATGGGTCTAATTTGTTTTTCCTTTCTGTAGAAAAGCAAAGTGGCTACAGCTCACATTTAGCTGAAGATCCCTCATCTCCTCCAACATTGCTGAAATGAAGTGACATGTTCACCACATGAAGCTGAACAAGTACCTGTGTACACAGGCATTCCTAGGGAACAAGAATACAAGCAAAGCACTGAGAGTTTCTTCTACATACTGGTGCAAATGTCTGTCGCTGCCATACTTCCCTGTCAAGGAGTAGTACTTGCTACTAGGCTGTCACTGTCTGTTTGGCTTCTTGTTTCTGTACTTGTTATCTAGCTGCCAGTGGGTGGTTCTTCCACAGGGTTTTCTTTTGAGTTGCTGTATAGGCATATGTGGTGCACAGTACTGCTTTCTGATGTTTGTTTTGAGAAAAGTTGCATTTTCAAGTGTTTTGAGGGTTTTTTTTTTCCTCTCTAAAAAATGGTTGAGGGTATATTTTTTTTGTGGGGGGAGGAGTTTTTTTGCTGTGGGGGACCATAGTTGACTCAGGTTGAAGTCTTGCATTTGGTGCTGTTACAAAGCAATGGAAGAAGCTGGAATAAAGCTTCGGCCAGCATATATTGTTTTGTTAATGATTTGTGTTCTTTTCCTAAGCATAAACCCAAATGTTGTGTACATACTGAGCATCTTTTTTTCAACTCTACTACTGAAGTTAGATGTAGCTGTGCACATTCTGCAGATCCTGGTTCCGTTTTGACCCTAAACAGCTTTCTAGAGCACTGAGCTGTGGTCATGCTTCAAAATATCACAGTCATGTACAAAATAGAACTTGTAGTTACGACACGGCCTTAATTGTCACTAATGAAAGACAAAACTTTTCCTACAAGTATGAAGCAGACCTAGCAGAATGCTTTTGCTCTGCATGTGTACAGTGGGGTAAGAATTTGTTAAACCATGTCACCTTTTATTCTCCTCGTGTTGAAAAGAGGTTTCTATTTCATAGTCCTGTTCTGTGCCAAGATCTCTGACAATGTAATAGTCTGGGTCATAGTAGATGTCAGTGTTAGTGCTTACACAGTAAGAAGAAACATTTGTGTGTCTATTCCCTTAACAGAGACAATACATATTAGTAGGCTGGAGAGAATTTAATTCTGAAAACGGGTCTTAGATATTGTAATCTCATGTTAAGATCACAGATTATATAAATATTTAATTACTCTGTTAACTGCTCTGCTTGCTTCAGTTTTGTTTGTCATCTGATTTTTGGAACAAACAGGCTACAGCTGGAAGTAGTCCCCCTTTTGCAAGGTTTATTCATTTAGAAGTTGCTCTTCCAGATGGCAGCTTCAAGGAGTTTTGCTCTAAAAGTCAGAGCTTCCTTTAGCCAACCACATTGTCAACTGCTTCTACTGACAGATACACACAGCAAGTACCTGCACGAAGATGAGTGTCGTAGTAGTACAGCCATGAGAGAGACATCAAGATGATCAAGCAATGCTTAATTACCCCTTTCTAAAGGGAGTGGTAGAAGTGACACATCTCTTCTGTAATTTCACCTACAACAGTATGACTGACAGTGGTAATACATGTATGAACAAGAGGGGCACTGCCTGGAGCTTTGACTAAGGGGAGTTACAGTTGCTACAACAAGAGTGACTGTTTCAGCAGCTTTTGGAATGGAAACATCCTCTAAGTATGGCAGTAAACACAGGTCTTAAGTGGACTGAGCTCACATGAGAAATCCTGTCTAACAAACACTTCTCTGGTGTTACATTAAGCTATTTCCTGTAGCTTTTACTGGGGCTTACTAAAATAAGACAGTGTTCAAGCCCTTGAACTGGTACCTCTCTGACTTAGGAGGAGCAAAAACTGCTCCAACTTCCAACTGTTCAGAGCACAGCTGAAATACCAAGTAGTTTAATAACAAATTAGAGATTTTGTTTTTTCCTACACTGCAAAAAAGTTTGCTGGATGCAGACTGACTTAAAGCTTTTTAAGCAGAACTTCAGCTGAATTCCTTGGAGCTTAACTGTCTCTCTGCAAACTTGATTCTAAATCAAAACCAGAGAGTTTAAATTACCATCAAATTATTTACCCTGTTGCAGTATTTCAGAGAATCCCACTGACTCATTTGAACTAAAACCTCTCTACATTTTGATGATAATATAACCCAATGCCTTATCTCTATTTTTTGTTACACACCCCAAAAGCTGTGTAGGTGGCCAGTGTTACCACATGTCTGAGTAATGTCTGGCCATTATTAGTGTTGTGATGGCTGTAGCATTTTCAGTACTTCTTTGTATTCCTTATTCAGGTTCAGCTGGAGGCAAGTCAATATTGGTACCAGGAATAACATTGGGTCCTATGCCATCCACAAGGGAATCCCACTGATCAAAATCTTTCTTAAGACCTATAAAATGGGGAAAAGAAAATGAGTGGTAATGACTTAACTAATCTGCTTTTTTAAAGCTACACTGAAAAATTAAACCAACTTGGCAAAGAAGGGAGGCCGGATGTTTTAAGGAGGGAAAAAGGACATGCTTACTTCTGATCCTGTTCTAAACTGAATGGTTATATAAAAAGCTTCAGGGGAATTAAATATTAGCTTCATACCTGGATGTAAACAGATACTTACTCAAATGTTTCTGCAGGAAGGCTAATGATGCGTGATTACTTATATCAATAGCTTCATTTGGATCGATTTCTCCTTTTAGCTTGAAAAATCTTCCAATAAGTCCTCCGCTCACAAAGGTAAAGTCAGGAAAGCTCTGATGTACTGACCCCCTGCAAACAGAAAAATGATCCACAGGTTTGTAAGAATGTCTGATTAAAAGATGCCAGGGGTTGCACAGGCTTCTTCAAAGACAGTCACACATCTTATACTGTCTTTTTTAGCAGAAAATAAAGCAGGTTAATCTCATGAGCATGCAAGACAAGCAGTAAATTCTGTCCTAGCCACAAAAGGGGGGAAGTTTTGTACATGCTTTACTGTAGTCACTATAACTGCAATGGCAGTTGTCAAAAGTCCCTCTCCAGCTTTCTTGTAGGCCCCTTTAGGCACTGGAGTTGCTCTAAGGTCTCCCCAGAGCCTTCTCTTCTCCAGGCTGAACAAGCCCAACTCTCTCAGCCTGCCTCCAGAGCAGAGATGCTCCAGCCCTGTAAAGCATCTCTGTGGCCTCCTCTGGACTTGGTCAAGCAGGTCCACGTCCCTCTTATGTAACTGAACAGCTTCAACAAAAGAGTAACAACCCCAGAAATGATGGATCCTGGACACTTACTTGATAGTGATCATTTTCTTGTTTGTATCATTGGAGCTGAGCTTCCTCATCTTTAAGATGTTATCAGCCCACTGGAATTTCTCAGAGTTGATAAAAAGCAGTGGTTGCTGGACACTGTTTTGGTAAATGTCATCACCTACGGGAAGCATCCATGCGTCGAGGGCAATGCCACACCTGTCAAAAACAACTGGGTATTGTCACAGAAGCAGAAAGCTTTGTATGGAAGTTCTCGGCATGCTTTGATTTGCAGGAGACGTGGCACAGAAATGCTCTATGACACTGGACGGGTTAATGAATCACTTTGTTTCAAAATTAATTCTCCTCTGGGGAAGAGAATCAGTCCGTCATTGCAGTATCCATGGTCTCAGTTGCCAGGTGCAGCCCAGCACAGGAGGTTGGTCAGGCTGCCACAGTATCATGGTACATGATACAATATGATACAGCTACTGTGTTCCACCACATCCCCACAGTTCAAAGGAGCATGACTTGAGAAAACAAGACATGCCAAACAAACCTTTTCTTCAAGAGCTAATCAGTAGTTGGGGGATCTTAGGCAAGGTCCCCTGCTCCAGACCTCTTAAGTGCCAAATGTCTCTTGCCTTGTTTTGCATGCTTACCTGAATCTTATTTCTTTGCTGAGACTCTCAATAACTGTAGCACCACCAAAAGAGTGTCCCATCACAGCTATTCTGCTAGTATCAACAGAATCCTGTCAAAAAAATCCAGGTGCTGTAAAAGACTTTCTTTCCCAAACTTTTTATTTTTTTTTTTTATTTTTTTTAAGGGAATAATTGTTTAGGCAATAGATCCTATGGAAGTAGGAAAAACATCATTTCAGCTCCAGTACTATCTAGCTAGCTGAGAATATCGTCACAGCTCTACAGTGTGATCTTCAGAATAGTTTACAGGCACCAGTTTAGAAATGGAAGAGGGAAACCAGAAGCATTATTAGGTGTTTAACAAGATGCAGTCACCCCCTTCACTCACCTTTAAGCTATTCCAGTCAAAGTTTGAATTTAGTACATTCGTTACTTCCTCTCCTGAATTGATTTTAAGAATGAGATTGAGAGCTTTGATACACTCCTGCGCTCTCTGCTGCACCTGGGGAGAGAGAAAAGTTGGGGCAGAGCAGTGGAAGGAATTCTCAGACAAGACTTGCTGGCCCTTTGGACACAAGACTGTCTGATTTCCCAACACCCTTCGTGTTTGATACTGTAAGGACTATACTGAACTGCAGAATGGAACTCTGATGTCTGACCAACAACAAAACTGACTTTTGGAGGTCCAAAGAGTTGAAGATCTTGCATAATGATCTGCACACGGAGGAATTTATCCCTCTAACATATGCCAGAGACCTTCAACTCCTTCATCCTGTCCCTACTCAGAGAAGGGGCTGCTGGGATGTGCAAAGGCTTACGTTACACAACTACAAGGAAGGCTGACTTGCTACTCCTTGTGCTCACTTTGATGAGCAAATGTCAGTACATCACTTGCCTCATCTGCGCAATACCCTTGAAACTGTCTTTA